TCTTATATGCCGAAAAATACGGTAGTTAACTATTTCATCCAGTTTTTGAAAACTATTTTACTATACTTTTATAAATGATAGCAAAATAAAAGCTTTATTTAAGCTTTCACCATTTCATAATTTCTGATCAAGCTCCTTTCTCTTGTTTTTTGGTTCCCCTCCCTTACCCCTCTACTTTTGTAGAGTGCTGAATCCTCTTTACTCTAGTATTAATCACTTTATATTGAAATTAGTATGGTTTAGTTAGCCAAACAGTTTTCGAGCCTTGATCTGTTCTCTTGCATGTTACACGTGTAATTGGGATTTTATTGTTAGTGATCACATTTTAAAAATACTTCATTTTGCAGTTTATCTGGCCACTCAAGGAATTAATCCAAAGGAGCACCCAGTGAAACAAGAATTGGTAAGATTCAAGGCTAAATTTCTTCTTGCTCAGACAAGTGCTTTAACAGTATTAATTCTGAACTTAATATTTTGTTTGGGTCTTTAAAAATGTGATAATTTTATTTTCCCATATTGAATAGTAAGGGAGCCATTGTAGTTTAGAGGTTTGAGTGTAGGACTACAATTCTGGGAGAACAGGGTTCAAAATACCACTCTGCCATGGTAACTCAGTGGGTGTCTTTGGGCAAATCATACTCTCTCATCCTCAGAGAAGGGCGCTAGCAAATTCCTTCAGAACAAATCTTGCCAAGAAAACCCCATATAAGGGTTGCCATAAGCACACAACAACAGATTAAATGACACCCCCCTTTCCAATGTAGAAATGCAACATTTACCCTGATGTTCTAGTTCCATGTGTAAGGTTTTTTTTTCATGAATAGAAACACATTTTCCTATCATGCGCCCTACTTCCTAGTAGAATCTACTGTACCTGATCAGGACACTGTGAAGTCTGCTGCAGGTGCAGATCTCTGAACAACACACTTCTCTTTCTCTGCTTTCAGTCTGGGTTGATCCAGAAAGAAAATAGATTTGTTTTATAGATTTGATCATAAATTTTTTTTTGATGTGGGCGCTGCATGTAATAATAATTTAAGAGATGTCACCTGAGCACAAGTTGTATAGCATAAATGGGGTGTGCAGCATTAATGTCTCACTAGATTTGGACACTGAAACCAAAGGAGTGGTGTGTGATGAATCACTGATTGAGGCTGTACCCACCACCCACAGCCAAGAAACACTGAGTATCTCACACCAACGATGTGGAAAGTGATAGGAAGCATATCTCTGCTCCACATCAAAGGTGGAATATACCAGCTTCTTATTACATAGCACTCCTGAAATGTGTCCATGTGGAAGCAGGGACTGAACCATTATATAATTTGGGAATGTGGTAAATGTACAAATGCTGCATGTGCACATTTCATCTGGAAATTTTCTCCAGTAGATTATATCTCTGGAGCTGCATGCAAACTGCCAGGCTCCCCTCTCTGTTGGAGTGCATAAGCTTTGAATTTCAATCAGTCCAAGAAATAGTTGTATTGCAGGATAAACCTTCAAAGGTTGTGGCTTTCATTCTTCTGGGATTGTTAATCAGTGATGGCCTAACTTAGGGGAAAGTACTAAAGTAACTTGGGTGCCTGATTTTTGCTGGATAACGCTATATCTTGTCTATGCCATGTAGCCATTCACATGTCTCCTATCTGTGGTATCATCTTAATCTACGAAATTGATTTTTTTGGGGAGGGATGGGGGGGGGCTCAAGTGGGAAGAGAGGTCAGTGTAGTTCTCATGAGCAAAAATACTTCTCATGAGCAAAAATACTTCACAGCAAAGCAAAGCTGCTGTTGGATGCAGCCCACATGATGTGCTCATCTTCCTAATCCAGGAATTCCAAGGAGTATTTTTGTTCAAAATAAAATCATCTGTCTGAAAGTAGATTTCAGTCTCAGTGCAATTCTAAAAGGGTTATAAGTTAAAACAAAACAATACTTTCTCCTTCTGAGACTGAAATTTTGTGTCAACCAGCTTTTCACTTAAGGAATGGAAAAATGTTACATGTCTAATAATTATTTATAACTTCCAGTACAGTGTGTTTTCCTATAAATACTTGGACTAGTGTTAATCTCTGAGGCTACCTTTTCTTACTCCTGTATGACTTTAAAAGTATCATGTGGTTGATTTACTAGCAAAGACGGGAAAGATCTCCCTCCCCTTTTCCAGTCCTTCCATTAATTCATTTTCTCAGCAGTAAAGAATCTAGTTCGGCAACAAAGCTAAAAGCTTTTTTGGCACTAGTTGTGTGTGTACTGTCCAGTAATTCTGCAGTAGTGACATATTTATTGCCTATAATAAATCTTTTCCGTTTGTCTTTATAATCCATTTAGATACATGAATATAGTATGTTAAGGGTGGATATCTTGGAAATTCTGCTGACTTTGATTTAGCTCAGAGAATAGAAAAACTACAGATCAAATCTGTGGTTGTCAGTCAGAATTTTTGTGTTACATGGTTTACACACATATGTAGCATTGGTAATATAATAAAAAAGTATGCATCTATAAGTGAAGATGATAAACAAAAGTAATTGTTAAGAAAATTGGCAATTAACCTCATGTCTGTACATGTTCAGCTATTGGGCTTATGATACATTCATTTGAAAGGAAAAAGCTCTTATCAGAATCAAATCACTATTCTTTTTTTTTTTTTTTAAATTCTTCTGAAGCTATGCCAGTAGGAAAAGTGTGTCATGCTAGCTTATAGTAAATATATTTAGTGCAGAAAATCTCAAACAGCATGATAGTGTAAACTTGCTAAGGAAAATGGAGTTTTTCTAGTTTCTTATAAACACAATAAAATAAACACTTGGCAGGGTATGTGATGGAAATGGATGCTATTTCTTTCTGAAGGATAGTATGATGTCCTTACCTTGGATGGGGAAGATCAACCGTTAGTTGCTACTTTCTTACCTTTTGGTACTTAGGACAGAGTTCCCTTATGTTTGAAGGATGTGTACAATGATTTTTCTCATTCAGGCTATGAGAATATATTCTCTTTCTTTCCTTCCTTCCTTTTTACCTATTCTGTTGCAGTTCATATGTAACACTAACCATGATCTAGCTCTATGTGGACAAACCTCAGTGAAGCCTTTTGCTCCTGCTTTCCCTTCTCTGGATCCTGTGCGGCTAGGAGAAAGACATAACCAGCATTGTTGTTTTTCTTAAATACAGTGTAAGGATTGTGTGTGTGATCTGTGGGCTGTATGTGGCCCCTAAAGGCTCATTTTGCAGCTCCCATAGTCCCCTGTAAACCCCAACCTTCAGAAACACTCCAAAAACCCCTACCCCAAACTTGATAAAGCCACTCAAACAAAAACATGGAAGTTTGTTTTGTCTTGACCCCTTACTACCCGCACTCCACCCCATCCCTCTCAAAACATCCTGGAATCAGAAGTGATGTTGCATCCTTTCAGGTTGTGTCAGGAGCAGCTGTCAGGCCAGTTGGGGGTTTGGATGGGACTTGTATGTGTGAAGGGCCACTTCCCTGTGCAAAATCTTAGTTAAGCATTTCAAGTCAATACAGCGACCAATATATAGGACTTCACATTTGTTCTCATGGGTGTTTTCAATAATTGGAGCAGAGGGGGCTTCACACAACACAGAATCTTTATTCTCTGAATCAAATCTTGTTTTGATATGATCAAGAGGTCTGTGTACCCATAATTTGGGAAAATTTCTTGACAGATCTGTGCTTGGCTATTTTGCTGCCTAAGGTGGAGCCTTACATGCCCTTTTCTCTCCCACAAGTGGAAATGCTGGGGGGGGGGGATCAACTTTAAAGCGTCACTTAGTTCCCTAAAAGGCCTTTCTGAAGGATCAGACCCCTGAAGAATGTGTGGGCTCCTGGGAGGGGCTTCAAATTGACTAGCCATCTTATACTGTAGACAGGAAGTTTGAATCAAGTATTAATAGTAAACAGAGCCTAGTTCACCAAAGGTTTCATGTGGGATGTGCTATTTTAGATGACACCTAGGAACAAACTTCATTGAAAGGTCCTGCAAATGCTGCTGCTGTCACTGCAACCAAAGCCCAACATGTTGCTAGCCTTCTCTGGTATGCTAGTGTTTTATGTACAAATTCTGGTGTACTGGACACAGAATAAGGCGTATTTTTTCAGTCCAACTAGTTGTGGTTGATAACAGGTTTTCATGTTAAACCCCCACCCCACCCAAAAAAAAAAAAAAAAAAAAAAAAAGAATGATGGATCCTGTGTTTTCCCCCTTTTGGTAATCCATTTATTTGCTGCTGCTGTTCACTGGTTTTGCTTCCCATTCAGCTTCCTGAAAACTTTCATTCTTTTATTTATTGTTGTTATGTGCCTTCAAGTGATTTCCAACTTATGGCAACCCTTAGGTGAATCTATTACAGGGTTTTTGTTGGCTGGGAATGTATGACTCGCCCAAGATTTCCAAGGCCAGGTGGGGAATTGAACCCTGATCTCCAGAGTCATCATCCAACGTTCAAACACTAAACCACACTGGCTCTATTTATACCTTTTACCAGACTAGACAGTGGAGAGTGCCATCTGTAGGATGAAAACTTTGTTTTGCTAATGTGTGCATACACGCCCAACCATCTACCCACACCCCTCAGATGATGATGATGATGATGATGATGATTTTCTTATATCCCGCCTTTCTGGATTTTAATTGAAGGACTATTTGTAAAACTTTGTAAAAGTTAAGCATGTAGCAATATAACCATGTTTTCAGTTATCATGAGGCTGGGTTGATCTGATAGGACTAGCTTTTGTTGGAGTACTTCTGCTCATGGAACATGTTTCCTTGAAGACAACACTGAACACCATACCAACATACTTCTTTATAAGTAACACCTACCAAAATGTGGGATCTGCCCCTTCAAGAAATGGGCTTAAATAACAATAGTAGCTCCTTCTCCTTTGTGTAGTTTCCTTAGAGAAACTGTCTGAACTAGTTGGGATCCAAGTTGTTACATTATTGTTGACTGTTTGCTTTATTACTAATTGCTATACAGTTTGGAGTTTTATCTTATGCATTCCTGCATTTCAAAAAGCAGGGAAAATCCACAAAGAAAAAAAACTCTTTCATTTTAGCTTAAGTTATACATATATTTGGAACTATAGCCAAAAGCAAGAAAATTCAGATAACAGATCAACCCTGCCTCATGATAACTGAAAACATGGTTATATTGCTACATGCTTCTTAGCTTTTACAAAGTTTTACAAATATAAAGGAGTCCTTTAATTAAAATCTAGAGATAAGTTTATAGAAGTTGTTCTACAAAGAAAGAAAGACATTTAGGCCCCAAGCCAGGGGTAGGCAACCCAAGGCCTCGGGGGCCGGATGCGGCCCCCGAGGCCTTTGGACCGGCCCCAGGCTGATCCTGCCACCGCTGCCACTGCCCACCATGATGATATTGATTATTGTTGTTATTACTTGTTCTTGGGGTTTTCTTGGTAAAATCTCCACAGGGGTTTTGCCATGGCTTTTCTGGGGCTGAGAGAGTGTGCATGCATATTTTTAAAAAATGTTTTAATTTTTTAATTTTTATTTATTTATTTATTTATTTTTGGTGCTTCGGCCCCCCAATTGTCTGAGGGACAGCAACCCGGCCCCCGGCTCAAAAAGGTTGCCTACCCCTGCCCCAAACACATTCAAAATACAGGTATTTTCACTATTCCTCCATCCATTTTAACCTCCTCTGCAAGTATAGGCAACAGGTGTATCACATTTTCTGATACTACTGTGGACTATCACATCTCAGTGTCATGTGGATGAATGTGATTCTTCACATTCATAGAATCATAGAGTTGGAAGGGGCCTCCTGAACCATTGGGCCCAACACTTGCTCAGTTCAGGATCTCCAGCTAAAGCGTCCCCACCAAGTAACTGTTCAGAGAAGGAGATCCCACCACCTCTATAGACAATTGATGCCATTGCTGAACTGTTCTTACTGCTAAGAAGTTCCTTCTAATGTTCAACCAAAATCTACCCTCATGTAATTTTTTAATTTTTTAATTTAATTTCATACAAAAACACATAACAAACTACAAAAACCAAAAACGCACGTTTAAAATTATTGCTACATAAAAATACCTATCAAACATGAACATAAACATCTATAGACATGACATACTAAAATTGTTATCTTATGCATGAAGATATTATACTAACCAATTTCGACACTAACACATAAATTTACTCTTGTCCTTTGCCTTACAACCAATTTTTTTTAATCATAAATGTTTTTAAAAAACTAATATATATACCAGTCATCCAAAATCAATTTGTTAACCTCCTTTTTCTATGGTGCTTGGATTAATACTTCCTCTTTATTTATTTCATTGGCCTGTCTTGCTAAAGATCATTTTTTGCTACCTCAACAATGATTCCATTTCCTTTTATCAATTTATTTCCATCTTTTTTATCATGCATATTATGTTTAATTTATAAACAATAACATTAATTTGTAATGTTTTTTGTACGCATATGTTTCCCTTAATTTATTTACTTGTTTATATTATTTATTTTTAAAACTTTTTATTTTTTTCCCTTTTGCTTTGTTGTTGTTTGTTTTTCTACTTGCCTATTTTAATTGTTTTGCCCCATTTTTGGGACAATAACATTTTTTTCCAGTCTTCCAAATATTTATTTGATTTTTCTCTTTGTGAACTTCAGGTTATACCTTTCTGTAATTTTAAACCAATCCTGGTTCTACCCTCTTGGGCAGCAGAGAACAAGGCTGCCTGCTCCTCTCTGTGGTTGTAATTAAAGAGTGAAGTCATGGCAGCCTTCAGCCTTCTCTTCACCAAGTTGTACATGCCTAGCTCCTCCAATCTTTCCTCATAGGTTTTGTTCTCCATACCACTTTCTCTGACTTGTCTATATTGTACTTAAAATGAGGTGCCCAGAACTGAACAAGCACCACATTTTCCGGTGTATAAGACAACTGGGCGTATAAGAAGACCCCAACTTTTCCAGTGAAAATATAGAGTTTGGGATATACTCGCCATATATACTCTTCCAACGCACACCAAATAATTTTTTTAAAAACATCAGATTTGATTTCAATATGGTAATTTTAATTCAAATGCTTATGACATGTAGGTACTTAGGAGGAAAACTGTCACTTGTAAACACAACAAACTATGTTCCCTAGCATTTATTTCTGCAGTGTGTTTTGGACCTTACTTTTTTAAAAATAGTCCAGATTTAAATGCTGCTTTAAAAATTATTTCCATCTCCCAGCTATGAGATGGTTGGGGGGAAATGAGAAAGTGTTGGGGGGAAGGACTGCCAATATACTAGGTGATGCATTCTGGGGTATGTACAGTTTGCAGCCAAGTAAGTGACCCTGGCCATGTCACACACTCTCCGCCTCAGAGGATGGTAATGGCAACTCGCATTTGAAGAAACATGCCAAGAAAACTCCATGATAAGGTTGCCTTAG